TTTAACAAACATAATTATTAATTAAATAATGAAATTAACACATACAGCTAACGCATCAATCATCTGCATCTTCAGCTCCTCAGGGATGGCTCTCCAAGACTCCAATTCTATAGTACATTTGGTACGCACCAATACTCATATGTTTGCCAAGAAGCTGCCACGCTTATCTGACTTCACTACCCCTACTATTTCGTCACCAGTGATTCGGTAACGGCTCCTACCATAAGATTTTCGGACCCGTACCTCAACTCTTTTCTTCTTGTCTGTCAACATAAAATATTTTCATAATACTAAAACCTAAATACAAATTTTATACAAAATGCAAAAATTTGAACGCAAACTTTTTCCAGAACCTTCGCCATCCGTTGTCTTTGATGAACGTGCACCATCATCAACCATCGTACAAACACTTAAAGAAAGAACTGATTATAATCGCTCGAAGTTGATTCAGAGCGTTTCTAAAACGAACTATGAAAAATAAGAAGAGCAGATGTGCATAATTATAGGAGACTTAGGGACTTTGCGCGACGAAGACTTTGTCGCGCTAACCCGACACTAAATACGGCATTTACTTCTCTGATTCAGATGCACCAAATTGTTGACCTATTACTAATCGTCCTTGCGCGACGAAAGGTTTGTCGCGCAAGAGTTTGCACAACGACCCTTTGTTGCGCAAACGTTTTAGCGACAAACTTGAGGTAGTAATTATTTTTGAATACATATTATAACTGAAAATTTGTTGGTAATTATAAAATTTACGTAAATACATATATCTATGTTTACATAAACTTTATAATCACCAATAAATTTTTAGTTATAATATGTATTCTTAAAATAATTACTACCTTATATAAATTGATATTATATTCCGTTCAATTAAGACGTTACATAATTACTACCTTAAATAAATTGATATTGTATTTCATTCACTTAATACACTAAATCATTAATACCTTAAATAAATTAGTATTATATTTCATTCAATTAATACCTTAAATAAATTGATAATATACTCCATTCAATTATTTAAATAACCAAACATGAATTAAAACATAATTAAGTCCAAATACATAATTTATAAAAAGTACCTTAAATTTAAATATTGTCATACAAAACATAAAATTAAAACAACTATTTCGATGATCATCCATTATGCTGGACTTCATAACGCCACCTATTGTAACCTCCCTCCAACGCATCATCCATCAACTTCATCAAATGTTCCTTCGGTTCATCATCAAGAGTATAGTTACACTGTCACACATATATGGAATTAATTAATTATAACATATAACACAAAACTTTACAAATTTCATTATTCATCCATCAATAGTGTCACAGCCCGTCCCGGAAGATTATTCTCGATGACGTGGAATGACGAAATTGCCCTCAGACGTTAAATGATGTGTGTGAGTTATTATTGGGTTAAATTGTTTTAGATTGGTGGCCCAATTAGAATTAAGACTTTTCTTAGTGTTAATTGGTGGCTTTTGGACCACACACACCCATCTTTTCTCTCTCATTCTCGTGCTCTCTCTCTCTCTCGCAAACTCTTTCTCTCTCCCTTCTTCGTACGGACCAACCCAGAAACCCTCTCAAACCTTGTAGATCGAAGGTTTTAAGATCATGATTGTGTTCGTGAGGACCATACGAGTTTAAATGTACCATTTTCAGGTAAGGAAACCCTAAAAAACCCGTGAAAATCCTAGCTCTGATTTGAGGTACTATTCATGTGGACGTAAAATCTTGTGTTTCAGGGAATTTTAAGGACACATGGAGCTTTAAGAGGTCCTCACGAGGCTCGGAGTAGTTCGTTGGAAGAAATTGGACATCGGGATAGCTAGTTTCGAAGTTGGCCGGTTTTCTCGAATTTCTCCGGCAAGAATTCGTGGGTTACAAATCCTAAAACAAGTATAACGTTGTTCTACTCATCTCTAGCTTTACATTGATGCAAATTTCATAGACAATGGTGAAGAAACGAGTGAGAAAATAAGATTTTTTGAAATCCCCAGTTTCCGGTAACGGCGACAGTCGCCGGGGATTTAGGAAGAAGACGATAGAATATTCCGTCAATTCTGACAGAATATTCTGATGCTGTCAGTTAGAGTTAACAGTTACCGTTGGGTTTTAACAGAATATTCCTTGGAATATTCCTAACGGTAGTTAGAGAATCCGTTAGGATTCCCTGTGCTTGGCCGCGCATGTTGCTGTGCACTAGCTGACGTGTGGCAGCCCGTGAGGGGTCAGAAAAATATTCTAAAAATTTGGGGATGATCCTGAGGTTGTGTAGGTCACTGTGGTATATTCAAACACCCCATTTGAGCATTGTATGAGAAGTTATTAGCTAGTTTTGTCTATGTGCTTTAAATAACGTTTTTATAGTTAATTCGCATATATGTGAGACTTATCCCGAGGACGAGAGCATTCAAGGGCGACTCGGAGGCTACGACCCTTCGACATACCAATGAGTGGGCTTTTGGTTTTCAGTATATATTTATATACTTGTTATTTTCCCAGAAAAATAAGTTAAAATGATGTATGCCTTGAATGCCATGCGTATGAATTTATATTTCGTATATGAATTGGTATATGATGCATTATATATAATTGTGGTGCTGTGGACGCTCAGGTAAGCTCAGGTGAGTTATGTTTGGTTATGTGAATTATCGATGACGTGATATGTGATTGAATAACGTTGAGCTTATAAAACTGCACCTAGGATGATTGTGATTTAGTCAGAGATATGGCACAGGTCTGTTTATTATGTCACCTCCCGCACCATATGCTCATATTGGAACCAATTTAGGTGCACAGTCTTGTCGTACAAACCTTTATTATGGTTTTGACTCGTAAGTGACTAGCGATTTATCGCCCAGCTATTATGTGAGGGTAATATTAAGCATGATTATATTACACCCATTATTGTCGTACAGACATTTTCATTTGGTTCTGACTCTTGTGCAGTATATTGCCGTATAGGTCATTGTAGTGACTCCGGCTAAATTGATTTTTAAGCTATGAATTCAGCCGTACAGACTACCACAGGGGTTCCGGCTCGCATGTTATATTTCTATGAAATTATTCTTACCTGAATTGCTTACTCTGTTATATCTTGGCATGGCATACATATGAATATAAGTATGTGAAGTATGATTTGAATTGATATATTTACATATATATTTATGTATATGCTTATATCTTGATTCTGGGAAAAATTATACATGTTTTACAGCGAGGGGTTAGATATGTTGATAAATGAAATGGTTTTGTAAAATATTTGTTTTTGCCCACTCACGTTTTCTGTTTTGTGCCCCTCCATGTTTTAGGTAAGCTTGCTGTCGGTGGCCTTGAGGATTTCGGCAGTTCTGACCTATCAAAATAATTGTAGGACATCTTATGGTACTGTATAATTAGTACTTGTCCTACTGGACTGCACCTGGACTTTCTATGCTCTGATTAGGAGTATTTACTTTTGTATCTTACTCCTAACACTTCTTGTTTAGTAGCACTCTAGTAGTTCAGTTTTTAATTATTCATATATTTCTTATCATTATTGCTTCCGCACTGTGCACATGTACGTCACTCTCACGTGGGGGGTGTGTTAAATAGTATACGTACTAATAGTTCATCCATCACCGCCTTCTTTGCATTCTCCGGCACATCTTTCCAAGAATGCCACTCAGTAGTAGGACATTTGCTCCCCATGGCTATAGCAATTGCATGCGCGAACTGAAAATGATGCATTACATTATTTGGGTCGGCATCGGTCACATTATCATCCTTTTTTCTATTCTCCATCTCAGCACAAACAAACTTTTGAAGAGTAAAATTTGTGAATTAAAAAAAGAGCAGAAGGGCATATTTATAGCAAAGATATGGCCTTTGCGCGATGAAGGATTTTGTTGCACAAAGGCCTCACTAAATGCTTTCCCATTCTGTTCATTCACATGCGTTGAGTGCTCTGACTGAAAACTGACTACAACTTGCGCAACGAACCCTTTGTCGCGCAATTGTTCCCTAGTCTCCAATGTGTTGAATGATCTGCCCAAGAAAATGAACAGGGTTTGTGCGACAAAGCATTTGTCGCACGTTTGTGTACTCGCCAAAGAAAAAATTTTCGTGACGAATGAGTTTTCTTTCGTCATGCAAAACTGTTTTGCGCGACTAAGTTCTCCGTCGCTCATAATTCACTACTATTGCGCGACGAAGATATCTTTATCGTTGTGCAAGGTACATTGCGCGAGGGAATTTTCTTTGTCGCGCAATCAGTTTTTTGTACTAGTGTAGAGCCAATAAGTATACTTAATAAAAAATCACTAACGAAATCCAAGATTACAAGTTTTTGTTGATCAGTAGCTATGAAGAACTAAAGGGAGTAGTATTCAATCTCTAACGAACCTTGTCCCCACAATCACAATCATAAAACTTAACAACACATAAAACTCCATCATGATATGAAAAATATGTAAATCTGCATGTATTGTAACACATTCATCATGGGGTCCTCTTCATGGCTGCCAACGCAGCCTTTCCTTATGCTTCGAATTGAAGCCCCTCTTGGTTGCTAATTCGTGTTATGCAGTACGCAGAATTGGATGAAGAATTCCGCAATCGAGTTCAAGAAAATACTCGGCGTTATATTGGTGTATTTGCTGATGGCATCGATGAGCTCATGCCGGAGCCCACAGAGGCATTTACAGATGATCATGACATACTGATGACCTAGAGGTCTGATGATGGACCAGAGAATATGGATGGTCCTGATCCACATCAGAAGATGCCTCCTGAAATCAAGCGCTACTTGTGAGTTCAACGCAAAATCCTAATTCCTGTTGTGTTTGTTCGAATGAAATTTCGGTCTAAATGTGTGCATTCACTGAATTGTGTGGTCGGTAACGGATCATATGCATTTAAATCTTAGTTTGACTAGTATCTCATGCCAGAAGTTACAGTGCATAATCAGTCATTGGATATGTATGGTAACACTGATACACTTCCTGTTTCGATTTAAACTTTGTGTTTGGTAGCTCGTTATCCATGACTCGATGGTAAATGAATGTCAATTTTCTCAAAGGAATTAGCTAGCTTGATTTATACCGATTGTATAACAAATAGAACAAAGGGGAACCTTATACTTCAACTCAGGGCATCAAAGTTCTTGAAGTTTCAGGAGGTACTTTATACCGATTTAGTCATAATTATTTAATAACGTGAGGACAGCTGTATTATAATATGGTTATGCATTAATTTTTTCAACAGTAGTGTTTATCATCCTTCTGTGATATATTGAGATGTTGTTCAATTTCAGGCAAAGATGCAAGAGTTGGCTGAAGATGTTCCAAAAGGCCATATTCCAAGGACAATGACTGTTCACTTCAGGGGTGAACTCACAAGAAAGGTAGCATGCTTCTATGTTAATTCTCATAGAGCATTTTAAGCGTAAACTTACAGTTTTGAATTAATCCTTTGCAATGGGGTAGGCAGGGGTTTCCATTTCACATGATTGCAGGAAGTGATGACATCCTGCTTCTACTTAACTGATTATTAACTTTTTTCTTTTGAATTTTCATGTGCCTCTTTCGCAACACCATTAGGTAGCTCCGGGTGATGTTGTGAAACTATCTGGGATTTTTCTTCCTATTCCTTACACTGGTTTCAGAGCAATGCGGGCTGGCTTAGTTGCAGATACTTACTTAGAAGCCATGTCCATCACACATACTAAGAAAAAATATGAAGAGTAAGCCATTATTACATTTTCAGTTCAATTTGGTCATCTGTTTATACATTTCTTTTATCAGTTCTCGGTCGACAAAACCATCTATGCTTCTGTATTGGACTAAATTACTTTCATACAAATCTTTAACTATATATTGTTCCCATTTTTCAACTCTTAACATAGACCCTATCTGGTGCTTGTAGTGCAGTTTTTGCTAAACTTATAGTTCTTTTACCTGCTTTGATAAACCGCTTTAATTCTTACATGATAATAGGTGCTGTGTACTAACTTGTGTTATGCCGTAGTTACGAACTTATAGGAGATGAGGAAGAACAGGTTGCACGTTTGGCTGAGGATGGTAACATTTATGAAAAGCTGGCTCGATCTTTGGCACCTGAAATATATGGGCATGAAGATATAAAAAAAGGCGCTGCTTCTGCTCCTAGTGGGTGCTCCCCACAGGAAACTAAAAGATGGAATGAAGGTAAGTTCTCAACGTTACCAGATACCATGTAACTCAATCATACATGTTGTCAAACTGAATTTTGCTTACCATTTTGAGAATTTTGATTCACAAGATTATGGATATCATTTGGAAGCATCCTCTATAGTGAAGTGGAAGATCAGCAGTCCTCTCTTCTTCCTTCTCTCTCTTGACCTTGCTTCCTGATCTGGCTCTTACTCCTCTTGGTCACTGATTAATGGTTATGTAAATTGAGCTTCAGTTTGCAATTTGTCTCCTTCCATTTTAAGATGGGATTTCCAAGCCAAATGTTTTATTTTTAGGAAAATTTTGGAGCTCATATCATGTCTGTGATACTGATACAGTAGACTGGTCATAGCATGTTTTATCATTTGCATGGTAGGACTACAAAAGCTCATAATATATTCTCCTTCAAAATGCAGATTAGAGGAGATTTACATATTTGTCTGATGGGTGATCCTGGAGTTGCAAAGAGCCAGCTTCTCAAACACATAATTAATGTAGCACCAAGGGGAGTTTATACAACTGGCAAAGGAAGCAGTGGTGTTGGTCTAATTGCTGCTGTTCAGAAAGATCCCGTCACAAATGAAATGGTCCTGGAAGGAGGAGCATTGGTGAGACACATATGCTCCATTCAGTTATATATATTATTTTTTTCATCTATGTTTATTTTCACATGTTATACGAGTGGAAGAGCATATAAAATAGTAACTACGTGTCGAATATATGGATAATACTTAAGATTTCTTAATGTTAAACTTTTATTGAATCATACCAAATGTGTGCCCTTGATGCAGAAGTAATAGCTAGAAAGTAAAGTGGGAAGTAGAACCTAGCCAGTTTTCAGGAGTCAATCCATAACAAATTCCATTTAGAATCCCTAATTAAACCAGATCCCCATAGTTCTCTATTAGGCTATCTATCTGATTATTCTTCTAGTGTTTCTGGGTGTTGAACTGTGGAAGTATAACTCATTTCAGGTGCTAGCGAATATGGGAATATGTGCTATTGATGAATTTGATAAGATGGATGAATTAGATCAGCAGGCTGTTAGCATTGCTAAGGCTGGGATCACTACGTCTTTGAATGCAAGAACAGCTGTTCTTGCTGCAGCAAATCCAGCATGGTACAAATCTTTCTACTTTTTAATCAGGTTCATTTAGGGCATTACTCTTTGTTGCTACTCTTCTATATTGCTCTAATTATGTGGTACTTTTTCTACTGCTGGCGGCTAACCTTCTTTGTGAAAAATCTACTCTTACTGTGGTTGTTTTATATATATTCTTGAAGGGGGAGATACGACCTACGTAGAACTCCTGCTGAAAACATTAATCTTCCACCAGCCCTTTTGTCAAGATTTGATCTTTTATGGTTAATCCTGGATCGAGCAGATATAGATAGTGATCTTGAGATGGCTAGGCATGTTGTCTATGTTCACCAGAATAAAGAATCTCCGGCTCTTGGCTTCACTCCACTTGAGCCATCTGTTATTCGGTAAATTTCACATCTTTTACCATGGAAAGCTCAGCAGTACTGATTTCAGGATATTCTCTTTTGTTTTAGTCTTTCTATTGATCACTTCTACATACGAACAAATATAAGTCTGTATAGAACTTGTAATTTGTAAAACTACCTAAATCTTTATTTTCAAGTCTGCTGATTGTGGGACTTTCAGATAAGATTCTTTTATTAATTTTTTTCAGGGCGTATATTTCTGCGGTGAGAAGATTGTCTCCTTCAGTCCCGCAGGAACTTGAGGAGTATATTGCTAGTGCCTACTCAAGCATTCGGCAAGAAGAAGCTAAATCGAATGCACCCCACTCCTATACAACTGTGAGAACTCTGGCTCAGCATTCTTCGAATATCGGCTGTAAGTCCTGCTTTTCATATTTTCGTTTATATAAATGCGGTTCCGTAAATATACGCTGTGCATCACAAAAAAATAAGATGGCAAGAAATGACACAGCAATATATGCTGTCCATAAAACATTACAGAGGTGGAGAAATGGAATGGTTTCTAGCCATCTACATTGTCATAGGGTTTGGGGTGCAAGAATGATGTTCTGCCGTCTGCATGTAGCAGAGGGCAAGCCACCCAGTTTAAGAGTGTTTGGACCTAAATGTTGCATATTAACCTGAATCTGGGTAATATCATTAATATGTACGTGTATGTTGTTTGTGCCACCTTTTACCCTTTTGATGGTCTGCCCCAGAAATGCCATCCATAATTAGAGGAAGAAATATGTTGCATGGAAATCTAGTTTTAACAAATGCCATTTACTTTTTTGGGTATTATTGGATGGGTCGCTCAATGGACAAACTGACTTCTTTTGCTTACAGGCAGTAGCAAGACTCTGACATTCTGAAACAGTGGCTCAATCTGATGTGGATGAGGCATTAAGGCTGAAGCATATGTCGAAGTTCTCTTTGTACTCAGATGATCGCCAGAAATCTGGTCTGGATCCTATCGGTGATATCTATTCAATTTTGCGAGATGAGTCTGAGACGACTGGCAAGCTAGGAAGGTTAGTTTTTGCAAAGCATCTTGTGATCGATGTTCAGAGGAATGACTGAATGCCATCTGATGCCAAAATAACTGCACTGCTTATCATGTCAAACAACTAGTACAAAACTTGGAAGTGATAAGAACATAACTATATAAATCAGAGTAGTAGAAATTCAAAATATATCTCTCAAAAAATGAAAATTCTTGGTATTCCTGTCGGAAATTCTATCTATTTCGTCTCAAGCCATGTGGAATGTTTGCTTTGGAACAGGGATACAGTGAAGCCCAACTGAAACAATGTTTGGAGGAATACGCATACATAAATGTGTGGCAGATTAATCCCCTTTCTTTTGACATCCGATTTATTGATGCCATTTGCAAGATGAGCGCGTGAGAAGCCACTCAACTCGGCTTCTGTTAAAGGTAGTTGGAGCTTTTCTTAGGAGTGTGGCATGGGTTACTTCATCAACCGTAGCAGCAGCGCCATCTGCTAAGATTTGTCCCTTTTTCTGTTACATTTACCGCTCGAACCAAAGATTTATTTAATCTTTTATTCCACTTCGGACTGTTTAGAGCTTAGCTTGAGTAGATTATTCGACATGGCATGCGCCATAGTTGCAGAATTGTATTGGGAGTATGATTAGATCAGTTAGCACTACTGACTACCTGAAATGGATGGAGCTGAATTTGTGCTGCTCGTTTGTATTTTGGTATGGATACTTTATATTGACTCATTGGGTATTGCTAGGGACTCTCAAAAGTGAAGCTCTCAATGTACTCTTCGTCACATCATGTTTTTTTTGTACAATTTCTATGCCAACATTATAAAATAGTGTGCAATAAAAAAGAAATGGCGGAAAGTCATGTTTTGCCGTTCACGTGCCCATTGATTAATCGTAATGGTTATTAAGTAGGATTACTATTCTCTTGAAGGATTGGGCAACTTTGAAACCATACCAAAGGTGACTGAAATATATAGTTAGAAATTGTTCCAAGTTTTCGATTACAAAATATTGCAAGTTCAAATTCCGATATCGGACTAGGTTTCAAGTTTGAATTTTTGATTATGTCCTCTAGTTGATGAAAAAAAATTCACTTTAATTGAATATTTTTTTTGACAAGCTTCAATTGAATTTAACCCGAATGTTGTCGGTGTATTTCTTCTTTTGATATGGAAAATGCTAACAATCTTTTCACTTATCTTATCATTTTCAACTTTCTCACTTTTATTCATGCAGTTATAACTAATTAAATATTAGCAGAACACACGTGACATAAAGAAAAAATCGGAAGAATAAAATGAGAAGATGAGTGGAAAATTGGAAATGATGGAAGCGTTTACTCTGTTGGTTTTGAAATTTCAATTTGCCTTTGGAAAGGAGAAAAGGAGGAAAAAATAACGGGAATGTAAAAGGAAAAAGGTAAAAACCATAATGATGGTATACGTGGCACTTCCATATAAGGCGCTCCACTTACTAAATTTGAACGCGCGCACACCGAATCGCTTTTAAGTATTTGCCCTTACGCAGAAAAATAAAAAAATAAAAACAAAAACAAAAACGGAAATTAAATTACCCATTTAATTGATTTAATTAAATAAGCTAGATTTCTCAGAATTAATAGGATTCATCCTCCATGAAATGGCAGAGCAGAGCATCCCTGAATCCTCTGAGATGTTCACTGAAATCCAAACATCCTACAAATTCGACAAAACCCCCCACGAACAAGATTTAGAATCCTAATTTTAAAATCGGAAGCCGGTTGGTCGGACAATTGGACTTGGGACAGGAAGCTCTTCTCCTACCTCGGAAAAACCTAAAACCCAAGTTTCAGGTTTTTCCTGTGTCTGCAAGTCAGCAACTGCAATTTCTGATTCCCTTTAAGGTAATTAAGCTCTTCCTCGGATGTAATTAAGGTAACTGTGATTAAGCTCTAATGATTTTATTAGATAATCCTAGACACATGATTTTCAGGCGCTTATTGCTCCAAACCAAAATGTTGCGAGATTGATGCACATGTGAGACAAGTTTTGAAATTTTTCCTGTTTGTGTCTCAGGTTTCCGGAAAATGCGTTGGGCAGCCTCTTCAGTTGCAGTCAACTCCTCTGCCTCTCTTCTACTTTGTTGAAGCAAATCCAGAGGTTTCTAATTCAATGCACACGTTTATTTATATGTTTTTCTGTTTATCCGGTTCAAACTTGATGCCTAACGATCAATACAATGAATGATATATACGCATTTGAACTCTTGAACACAAAATCTTGATGCAATATGCATTTCTCAATTTGTATCGTTGGTTTCCATTTACGTACTGTCTCGTCTAGTCCTTTTGAATTGCGTATTTAAATGAACGATTCACATTTACCACTTGAAGATCGGAGAGCATGGGAATTGAATAGAGCACGATCTCCTGTTATGGAAGATAATGAAGTCATCCGTTATATGTTTGTTTGTTCGTATAATTGGAACAGTTATAATGAAGCACCCACCTTTAGCTGTTTTTACAGAATTAATTTCACAAAAAGTTAAAAAAGAAAGAGAAAGGAAGCTCTTGAAGTTAGAACTTCTTAGAATTGGAAGAGTTATAGCGGAGCATCCATCGTTAGTTAGTTAGTAGAGAACTGTATAATTCAGATAAAGTTGTACGGAAACAGCTAATGGGTTGTTGAATGCATTATTATATCTTAACAATTTGGTTTGGCAGTTCAAGCCTTTTCTTTTCTTGCACCTTTTGTCTCTATCCAGGTCTAAACGAAACTTTACAACAAAGAACACAGAAAATATTTGTGATTAACTTGTTTGAGCTCAACCAAGTTAAAGCAGCAGTCTGGCTTGAACACAGTTGGGTTTGAGTCGTTTGACTCAATAGCCTTTTTACCAATTCAGGCTTAGATTGTGCAGTCATGTCATGGTATCTAACTCATCTAAAATGTTGCTTGAACTTTTAGAAAAGTAATGCCTCATATTCATAGCTGCTTAGCAGTCAAATGAATAAAGGGCAAAAAATGCATGAGACTCCTCTCATTCCGGGGCCTGGGAGGGTTATGTCTAGCATATACGTAGCCTTACCCCTTTTTGTAGAGAGGTTATTTCCGTTTCGAACCCTAGCTTTGGTTCATAATAGAGCAACCATATTTATGCCAAACTTTTCTGTCTTGCTTTGCTATAGGAAGAATAAAAGGGTTTCCGCATCCCCATTAAGTGTTAGCTTGGTTTGCAATAAGTTGAGTGAAAGGGACAAATATTGCACTCCACGCTTGCATTTCCTTTTTCAGGATTTCTTAGACTACGGGAGTAAATAACAATATTAAAGTTTCTCTAGTTTCCAACAGCGTTTGGGCCTAGTGGCACATCCTCCCCTTGGGAACAACGGTGAAGGTCAGTTCATTAGCTGGTGGTCTACTTAGTCTAAGAAAACAAAAAGAAATTTCTCTAGGTGTTATATGGCTTTTGTAGGCAAGTATATATCATTCACCACTCATGAGGTTTTGTATAGTACAAAATGTACAACTTTGGAAACATGGAAATATTATGGAGTAAATTTGTAGCATTTATTCGTAATAACTACCTTCTTTAAAAAAAAAAAAAGAAAAAAAAAAAGCTACCTATGTTCAGATCTGGGTAATTGCTCTGTCTGGCACTCTATTTTCATACCCCTGGTAATAAATCTGTTCGCAAGAGTGTATTTCAATATTCAGTCACATTGATCAGTGGTGTTAATTGATTTTATGGATATGTAGTGCTTCATTTCGTTCTATACTGACTGGGTTCTATGCTTTCACCGTTCAAGAATTTTGCTGATATTTTAGGCAGATATCATTTTATTATATACCTAGGTTGGGAAAGTTTTTCTGGGTTGCTAGCCTTCTGTTCGTTTTTGTGGAATATATTTAGAATCTTTCAGATAGTCCGCAGTTGCGTTCATCTTCATCAACTTTGTTTAATGGTTCTTTTTTAATGTTTCAGGTTGTACTCAAATAATGGATCCTCGGAAGTGTACTTTGTCTGGTGGTGTAACTTCTCTTGCCATGGCACCTTCAAGCATTTTAAATAAGTTGAATGAGAAGGCTCAGTTTGAAAAAGAAGAGAGGGATACAGGTCATGCTATCGAGGCTGGAGTCGATATAGACATTAGAGAGGTTTATTTTTTGATTATGCACTTTCTGTCACTTGGGCCATGTCAGAGGACTTTCGAACAGTTTGGGAATGATCTTCTGGAACATCAGCTTCTACCTAGAAGGTATCATGCTTGGTTTTCAAGGAGCGGAATAGGAAGTGACAATAGTAATGAGGATGCTACCTCTTTCCCATTGAGTTACAGCAACTTGGTTGAAAGGTACATAATTTCCTTAATTTGTCTAATACTCGTAGGAAGAGCTCAATGCCAAGCATAGATTTTGTTCTTGTTAGAATTGGTGTTCATGTTATGCAACCAGTGTCCTCTTATTACAGCAGTCAATGTTTGTGTCACACACGTATCAAAACGCACACCTAAGCCTCAAACACGTTCAAAGCAGAACATGACATGCCGACATCCCTTGTTTGGTATTGGTACCCTAACCTTAAAATTTGGCCTTTAATCCATGTCCAGTCGAACAGACAATTGGCATACTGATACGTAAAAGAGGAAATGTATTGGGGCGTGATAGAATATGAAATAGTTGCTCAAACTTTTGACAATAGTGGTAAACACTATGGTAACTGAGCAGAAGAACTGAGCATTAACCTGAATTCTACATGTTGGAAAGAATTTATCCGGGTGCACGGGTTTTCTTATTGCATTCCTTTGATTTCTTTCTATACTTTATAGGTTGGCCTAGTCATTTTATTTCCCATGCTGGGGTTTTAATGATTAGCTTTTGCATGATGTATAGGTATCCTCATATAGAGAGAGATCACTTGGTAAAGCTTCTAAAGAAACTGCTACTGAGTATAGCCACTCCATTGCATGGCAAGGTTGGAAGAAGTGCTCTGAATGCAGCTGATGTCCCTACATTACTGGGAACTGGTTCCTTCTCGCTTCTGGATGGTATGTGATATTTTATGTTTCATATTTTAATATTATATATATCTCTGATTCTCAATTGGTGTTTTTTCTGCATGTGTGTGGATATGTTGGAATATAAACCATTTCTTTATTGAAATCTTCCGTATTACTAATAAATTACTTGAAAAGTGAGTAATGCATAATTATGACAGTATGATTGTTTAGAGGATGAAATCTCTGTTATAGAAATCTTTGGGCATTTGGAAATTGTCTTTATTTACAGTGGTATATATCCTTCCTCACGATATGTCCTTTTAAGGCTCCTCTTAACCTACTGCATCTTTGAAAGTTCTGTCTTTCCTGCTCAAAGGAATGTATGTCATACCTAATAATATGCTGCTTGGTTATCCTACGCATGTAACTGGGTAGGTTTGGCTGAAACACTTTTTTGGGTCTTTTTGTCACTTACGTAGATAAATTGTAGGCTGCTTCGTGACTTTTTCTTTTTAGCTACCACGTATCTTTTCAGGTTCCAGACATGATAGGTTTCTTCAAATGTTACTTATTTCTTCAATTTTCATTTCCTGTTTTTGCAGGTGATAGGAATAAGGAAAATAAGAGAGTTAAGCCCCTGCCAGCTCACCTGCGTTGGCCTTACATGCAGGCTGATCAAATTCATGGCCTTAGTTTAAGGGAAATTGGAGGAGGTTTTGCAAAGCATCATCGAGCTCCATCCATTCGCTCTGCATGTTATGCGATTGCTAAACCATCAACTATGGTGCAGAAGATGAACAACAAAAAGAAGCTACGGGGGCACCGTAATGCTGTTTACTGTGGTATGGCTCACTTCTTAACTAGAATTGAATTAAACAATCTATTTTCTGGGAGTTTGATTTCTAAAGGGCATGCTAAGTTATTAATGTTTGTTTCCATGGAAGTCACAATTGTACGGGATAAGGATACATAATAATAAACACAGATTTTTTTAGACACTATACAAGCATTCTCCTTTTTGTACACAGTGTTAATGTTCACGAGTATTTATAAGGAGTTTTAAGTCAAAGGAATGAAAAGTCAACACTGATATACTTGTAGTTCTAAATTGTTCTCATTTTTGTCTAAAAAAATTAAAATATACATTTTCTGGTTCCATCTACTGATATTAATCTCCAGGTGTTCCATAATACATAATTACATATACATGTTGCACTTTGTATAATGAATTTAGGAATTTGTTTTACTTGAACTTTTTCCGGAAAATATGACCGACTCTTTTATCATGTAGCCATTTTCGATCGGTCTGGGAGATATGTTATCACGGGTGCAGATGATCGGCTTGTGAAGATTTGGTCAATGGAAACTGCACTTTGCTTGGCTAGCTGTCGTGGACATGAAGTGAGTTAAGATTTTTGACTTAATAATTGTGATTTACAAACTCTTTCTTTCTCTCACCCTTTATCCTTCTACTTTTCTTGTTCTATGAATCAAAGGGAGACATTACTGACTTGGCTGTAAGTTCGAACAATGCTTTGGTGGCATCTGCTTCAAATGACTTTTCCATTCGAGTTGTATGTATACCCTACCATTTAACTCAGTTTGGCTTCATTTCCTATGTATCAGCCAGTGAATAGTTATTTTACCTGCAGTGGCGTTTGCCAGATGGATTTCCAATTTCAGTTCTTCAGGGGCATACTGGAGCTGTGACTGCTATTGCATTTAGTCCCAGGCTTAGTGCTGTTTACCAGCTTTTATCGTAAGTCCAATTCTTAGAGTTATTGCTTTCTGATTCTTTCCCCTTTCCTTGGTTTTATCCTGAATCAATAACATTTGTAGGTCATCAGATGATGGGACTTGTCGAATATGGGATGCTAGGTCCTCCCCGTGCCCACTGCGAGTATACATGCCAAAACCTCCAGAGACTTCAACTGGTTAGATAATGTTTCTGACACTGTTGTTATTTGGTTGATCAGACTTATATCAAGCAATGTTTACTTGCAGGGAAGAGCAATGCTTTTGCAATCACTGGATCCTCCTCGAGCAATGGTCCACAGAGCCATCAAATACTTTGTTGTGCTTACAACGCCAATGGAACTGTTTTTGTCACGGGTAGCTCTGACACTTTTGCAAGGGTGTGTTTAACTATTAAACTTTTACATTTGTTCATGTGATTAGTCCACAGCTGCCTTTTGATTTACTTGCATCAGTTGACGTTGCCACATGTGAAGTTGGATATTTTACCAAAGCCAAACTACTTGCAGGTCTGGAATGCTTTAAAATCTAATACTGATAACTCAGAACAACCAATACATGAGATGGATGTACTGGCTGGCCATGAGAATGACGTAAATTATGTTCAGTTCAGGTATGTTTGTCTCAATGTCTTAAAAGTAACTATAGGTCACATTTTTCTGATATTTCTATTTTGCAGGAGAGAAATGAAATTATGCCATTTTGCCAACATTTTGGTTTAATTTTTTATAAAATATTTCCTGTGTTGTTTCTCTGAAAGTGTTGAAATTTCCAGAAATTGGCTGAAATTTGGTTAATTTTAAAATCAGTTTTCTCAGTTTTTCTAATGTCCAGTGTATTACAAATCCAAAGCTCACCACATGTGGAACTAGAACACATAAAAAGGGCACCAAACTTTACCAAATTGGTAATTTTAAGGAGAATAGTAAGCTTGGCTGAATAAGCTCACAGCTATACGTGAGAGGTTTTGATAGATGAAACGGAGGTTCCTAATAGAGGCACTGTGACCTATGAGCTGTCACTGGATTCTGTGGCAATGTGGCAATATTTGCTCACAGCCACTGGCTTTGGGTGGCAGTGTCTGACAGTGCATGCTATATTTGCTTAAACCACATAGACCTACATTGCTCCTTAACTTCCACATAAATAATTGAATAAATAAATGTCATACGAAGGTTGATTTGAAATTTCTTGTTTTCTTTTGTACCATCATTTCCTTTGTTTCTCTCAGATTCTTTCTGACAACAGATTTTAATGCTTTGGTGTTGATTGTTGTTATTAGAAATTTTCTTTTCATTTGACATATAATCTTTTCTGCTTTCCTATGCAGTGGTTGTGTCATTCCTTCAAAGTCTTCATTTTCTGACTCTGTCAAGGAGGAGACTAATGGGAAGTTCAAAAATTCCTGGTATGTATCTGAAATGATTTTTCATTGATATTTTCTGCAGTGTGCTTATGCTCTGTCTTGTGTAGTATCTGCACGACAGTTCCTTTTTCTGTTGAATGTGCTAAGACAGTCTTTGAATTCTCAGGTTTTGTCACAACAACATAGTTACCTGCTCTCGTGATGGCAGTGCCATTATATGGGTTCCAAGATCACACAAAATCCATGTGAGCTGCTTTGGATGAGTATTTTTATTTACATTTTTGTGGAGTCTACTTTGATGTAAATGAGTACAATATAACTGATTTCTAGCTCTTTTTTTTTTTTTTTTTTTTTTAAATAATTCTCTCTTCACTTTAGGGGAAAGTTGGACGTTGGACACGTGCATATCATCTAAAAGTTCCACCTCCCCCACTTCCTCCTCAGCCTCCTCGAGGAGGTCCACGTCAGAGATTTCTTCCCACCCCTCGTGGTGTTAACATGATTGTGTGGAGCCTGGATAACCGCTTTGTGCTTGCAGCTATCATGGGTACTTACCATGATTTATACATATATAACACTATTTTATGGAAATAAAATTTTTCTTGGCATACCTTTACTATATATTTTTTTTAGAAAGCACCTAATTCCAACTACTGTGTGCTCTGGCTTGGGCTACCACATCCATCAAGTTACATGCCGTTATGTCTTTTTTTATTTGTTTAATACTCATTATATTTTATTTAATCCCCATTCAAGTACTTGGGTGTACAGACTTCGGTTTTGCTCTTTAATAAGTGTAATGATTATGCAGATTGCAGAATTTGTGTTTGGAATGCTGTTGATGGTAGCTTAGTACATTCTTTAACCGGTCACACTGCATCGGTAAGTAGGGTCTGATATCATAACAAATAGAGATGTTGATGAACGTAATGCTTATAATCTCTTGATTCAGATACACCATCTAGGTTTTTTCTTAATCCAATTCTTCATCTGTACTGTACCAAGAAATAGTTTTCAAATGGATTTGATTTTTTCAATCTATTGATCTGGTGGCACTTTTCTGTTAAATTCTTGGCAGTCTTATGTTTTGGATGTGCATCCCTTCAATCCTCGAATTGCTATGAGTGCTGGGTATGATGGGCAAACAATAGTTTGGGATGTGAGTTTCGGTTTAATCCCCTAACTTTTTCAAGTTCTCTTTTCTGTTTCATTGTTCTCCTAATGCTCGTTGTTTCATAAGTTGTTTCTTTTTGTGTTTCTAGATATGGGAGGGCGTGCCTATTAAGATATACGAACTTGGACATATAAAATTGGTTGATGGGAAGTTTTCGGCGTAAGTGAGCTGTACAATAGCTAATTATGTTTAATTTTTTTTTTCATTTTATAGTTAAACTGAAAATTTCAACCTTAATACTCTTTGCGGAGGTTTACATATGTAAGGAGAGACATAAGCTAGTTGCCTTGATACTACCTCATAGCTGTTCAATATCTCACCCCTCTCTTCTTCCCATTTACAGCAAGATGGATTTATGTTTACTACCATCATTTTTGTTTCATGTATATTGATTTAATTAATCACTAAAATGCTTGACCTTTTTCTGCTAATATTTGAGACATTTTCTCTTTGTTACATAGGGATGGTACATCAATAGTACTTTCAGATGACGTTGGCCAAGTATATTTAATAAATACAGGAGAAGGCGAGTCTCAAAAAGATGCTGAATATGATCAGGTATTGTAAGAATTTCTTTTGTAGGTTTGTCCTTTCCCCTATTTGATTCCAATTTGAAGTTATGAAACTCCTCGATGATGACTGTTTGTATGATTCTTCTACAGTTCTTCCTTGGGGATTATCGCCCCCTTGCACGGGATGAGTTTGGATACCTGATTGATCAGGTTAAATATTCTCACTACCCGCTTGTCACTACTAAGTTGTTCTGTAGCGAATTTTATTCCATGTCTGCAGTTCAACTTGCACGTTAAGAAATTGAATCGATATCATATAACTTTTAATTGTGGAACATATTATCCATGTTGCAGGAGACACAACTTTCCACTTACCGAAGGAATCTTCAAGATCCTCTATGTGATTCAAGTATGTTTCTGGCTCCTACTGGATGGGATTCTTAATTTATTATTAGTATTCACAATATTTTCTCATAATCATACATTGATTGGAAACAATAGGTATGATACCATACCCAGAACCTTATCAGAGTACATACCAGCAACGACGACTTGGTGCTCTGGGCATGGAATGGCGTCCATCATCCATGAAATTTTCTGTTGGTGTGGACATCAATACTGGCCAGGATTATATGATGCCTCCTTTGCCAGATCTGGAAAGAATGATTGAACCACTACCAGATTTTATTGATGCCATGTTGTGGGAACCAGAAAATGAGGTTGTGAGTGAAGATACTGATTCGGAGTATAATGTTACTGATGAAAATTCCAGTGAAGGGGAGAAAGGAAATATTAGCACCAGTTCTTCTAGTGATCCAGACTGCAGCGAAGAAGACGGTGAAGCTGGATGCAGTCATAAGGACAGCCTTCGTCGATCAAGGAGAAAAAGACCAAAGGTAAAAATTATCTCCTTGTCTATAGATTAGATTCTGTACTACTATTTGTTTCTGTTCGACCTCCTTTGACTGAATTATAATGAAATTTAGGTTGAGTCTTTCGAGAGGCATGTCAAGAAAAGGAGAGTGGGTGAGCATGATCGCGTTATATCTGGGATTAACAGAACTAAAATAAAAAAAGGTGGCCGGAAAGTTTCGAAGTTGAAGTCTTAAAGCAAAGACATTGAGACCCCAGCGAGTGGCAGCACGCAATGCTCGAACTGTGTTTTCTCAGAACCCTGGGACATCCACAGAAGGAGAAGCAGATGACTGGGAAGATGATTCATCAAATAGTGAGTCACTTCAGCAAGAATTCCACACTCAAAGCAGTGATGTGGATTTCCAGATAATGCAACGAAAACATACTAAAGAAGAACCATCTCTACATGAGTTTGGCAATATATCCCAGCCTCTTGTAGTTTCTTCGTCTCAGTCAAACGTCAGAAGGATGCCGAAATTGGTTTTTAAGATTAAGAAGCAAGAGGCTCCAGAGGATGTAAAACTCAAAGACAACAATCAGGCTGATTTTGTGTCCCCATCTTCTAGATGTCAAGATGCCACTCCAGATAACCAGATTATTAACAGCCCTGTGGATCCAGATTCCTCTTCGGCCAAATTTGGTTGACCTGAACTTTTCAAGAAATCTCTTAGACAACGATTTGACAGATACTGGGAAAACTGAAAAGAATGGGAATTCTTTGGAAGCATCCGCAAGTTACCAGGATAGCAGAGTCAGATTGGGCGAGGTCAAGGTGCGCACACCAAAGCATAAAAGATCAGTAGACCCCATACCAATCGATGTAGCCACTGGGTCGCTTGCTAATTTTAATGCACATATAGAAGAGATGAATAATGTCCATCGGTATGTTAATCCTGAGAGTGATTGTGAACAGTTTTGTAATCATTCAAAAAAGGGAAAAGAAAATTATGGAGTTGTCTTGCCTTGCAGGGTTGAGGAACGTACTGGAACACGTGCATTTGAGGATCTGGATGGTCTCAGAAGTAGAGAGCTTTCTCATACCGACGAGGCCCTTGTATCTTCATCATTTGATTCCTCAGCTTTGGGCGAGCACAAACAAAAAGGAATTGAGGGCTCTCTGGAGATACAGGAGCTTGGTAGAAGAAAGCACTCTGGTGAATCAAGGAATAATGCTTCTCTTAAATTTCCCGCAGAAAACTTAACAAGTTCTAGAGATTTAATCCCCGACGATTCTTCGAGCATGGATCCAAATTCAGATTTGGGGGTACTGAAAGTGGGTGAAGGTGCTGGCAGATCAACTTCTTTGAAGTTTGTTTGCAAGCACAGGATTAATTCAGAAGGTTCTGGTGGTAAGGTGGAAGAATATGCAACAAATATCAACGACCATCATGATTCAGGAATGGATCTCCCTGCAGCTGCAACCAATGCAATACGTGGAACAAGAACCTTAAAGATCAAAGAAACTTCATGGAAGGTGGACTCTATGAGCCATAGCCCTAAGTTGAGGTGGGGCCATCAAACAGTGGGGACATCAGAAGATGCAGAAGACTCCTCTGCCAAATTGTGCAAGGAGATTCATCAAAGACCAAGGTCTACGAGAGGTCGTCAGGGGGGTTCATGTACTGATTATGGCCAAAGTTCCTCAACCCGAAGCATGTTAGTTAACCCTGCTGGCAAGTTACCATGGCTGATGTTGTCGAAACATGAGGATGGTTACCGTTACATTCCTCAGCTCGGTGATGAAGTTGTATACCTGAGACAGGTAATTTCTTATATCTTTGATTCATGGTTTCTGGTCCTTTGGTTCTGATTTATGCTTTAGAATTTACTGTTAGATAATTAATATATGGGCTTGTGATTATTAGGGCCATCAAGAGTATCTAAAACTAGTCAATAATTCAGAAGAGGGTCCTTGGGAATCAATTAAGGAAAACATCAAAGTTGCGGAGGTTTGCAAGGTTGAAAGCCTCGAATATGCTTCGCTGCCTGGTTCTGGGGAGAGTTGCTGTAAAATCAAACTTAAATTTGTAGACCCTTCTTCTGCTATCTTTGGAAAAGCGTTGAAGTTGACTTTGCCTGAAATTGATTTTAATGATTTCATTGTTGAGAAAACGTGGTATGATGCTTCTATTAGAAGAAACTGGACCACTAGGGAGGAATGCGCGGTTTGGTGGAGGGATTCAATTTCAGATGGAGGTGGGACTTGGTGGGTAGGTCAAATTATTCGTTGTCAGCCCAAGTCACATGAGTTTCCCGACAGCCCTTGGTTAAGATATGAGGTTCGGTACGAGAATGATGATGAAACCCATTTGCATTGTCCTTGGGAATTGCGAGAACCGTCCATAGTAGATGATCCATCCTCATGCGAACAGCCCCATATTGATTCTGAAAGCAAAGAGAAGCTGCTGCGTAATTTTTATAAATTACAACAGAAGGTTTGTGCAAATATTTTAGTATACCTGTCTTGTTATTTTGTGGGAATTGGAATTTAAAGCTCCAATTATCATTAAGAAAGACGTAAGCATTCTGAAACTGTTTTCTTCATCAAGGATATTAATTAATTATGCCGTGTATGATGCAGGACTTCCAAACAATCCAACAATTGAATCAAGCTGTTCAGAAGGCGGATTTCTGCAACAGGTAACAAATACTATTATCTGGTTTAACCATATTCCTGTGCGAGACCATTTATAGGAACTTTCCTATCCATTTGAGTTCTGATAAGCTTCCTCGAAAGTAGAAAGAATGCGCGGAAAGTCGCAACATAGTTACCTGCTTGTCATCGATCTTGGCAAAAACTAAGATTTTGAGAAAATAACGATGTCTTTTGTTTGTAAATATTTTGCAGCTTTCCAGTGCAATTGTACCCTGAACTAATCCAGTCGAGGTTAGAGAACGACTATTATAGAAGCTTGGAAGCTGTGAAGCATGATATAACGGTTATGCTGACAAATGCCCAGTATTACTTCAAGAGAAATGAATTGCAAGCGCGGATTAGGCACATCTCAAAGAGGTTTAAGAAGAAACTGTCAAAGTTGTAGAGGTTTTGAGTAAAAGAAGATATAACCGTCTTCCTTACTCCCGTATACAGCTCTCTCTTTTCAATTTTGTATTTTCCGGCCTTAGCCCCGGTTGTTTCATTTTTTGGTAAGGCAGTCCTTCCAAAGGGGGAGTGAAAACCACAGGCCAAAGGAGATAATTTGCTGTATAGACTCCTTCAAGATCACAAGGATGTTTGTCTCATGTGGGGAAGATAAGCATGTCAGTTGTTTGGCAAAAGAAAGAATTTTACTATTACAACTTAGAACCACAGAAGAAAAAATAGGAGAATTTTGCTATATTCTTCTCTCAAACAATCCCCCATTTTATATAATTTTTTCTTTGCAATTTATAAATCTAAATTCTTAGTATTTTCTATAGTATTTCAGTGCATCAAATACTCTCACTAGACTTTTCGTCATCTCATGTTTTTAGCATAATATTTTATAATGTTGCACGAAAATTGTGCAAAAAACATGAGATAGCAGAGAATTCACAAAGAATCTTATTTTTAAGAGAGTCTAGACTCTAGTGTTGTCGATTTGTTTAATTGATCTCTATTAATTAATGAAATCCTATTTGTCAACCAAAAGAGGTTGAAAAGACAAATTAGTCTTCTATTACACAAAAAAATAATGGGCAATAATGTATTTTCACAGGTTTAAATTTTACTATTTTTTTATTGAAGCCATCTACAGGTGATGTTAAAATATATTCAATATTAAAAAAAATAAATAAATAAAACCAAAAACAAAAACCTCCTACTCCCCTAACGTTCTCTCTCCCTCTCTCATTCTCATTTTCTAAAAAATGTGTTTATACACATAAAGTGTATAGACAAATGCTAGTACGAATTAAACGAACTCCAATTTAATTATTTTTCATAGATAATATTTAAATATAAATAAACGTACAAAGTATCCGCGTTTAAAACGAAAATTTCCGCGAAAACATTACGCTCCCATTATTGCCCTTATCGGTGGCCCTGTTTCTTATCCCCTTCCAATTTCCACCGAACAAAACCCTAAACCCTTCTCTGAAACTCTGAGAGTGTTTGGGGTTGGCAATTGGCATCAATGGCAGGAGGCAAAGCGAAGAAAGAGAAGGCGAGGCCAGCGGGGCACACGCCCTACCAAGGAGGCATATCGTTCCACAAGTCCAAGGGACAGCATATCCTCAAGAACCCCTTGCTCGTCGACTCCATCGTCCAGAAGTCTGGCATCAAATCCACCGATGTCATCCTCGAGATCGGTCCCGGTACTGGTAATCTCACCAAGAAGCTTCTAGAAGCTGGTAAGAGGGTCATCGCCGTCGAGATTGACGCCCGCATGGTCCTCGAGCTGCAGCGCCGCTTCCAGGGCACCCCTCACTCCAACCGCTTGCAGGTACCGCTTTTTTTTTTTTCCCCCGAAAGAAGTTTCATTTACCGAGCATTTTTGTTTCTAATTTGAAAATTCAATATTGGGTAATTGCAATTAGTGTTTGAATGAATATGAATCGATAAAGTTTTAAAATTCTGTTGTGGTTGATATGTTGGTTGTGATGTGTTTTTGGGGATTTGCATCAATTTCTGTTTTCAAATGATAATTTAGAAAGAGGGTTTAATTGTATTTGCCAAGAAGAATATCTCAAATTCTGTTGTGCTTAATTTAAGAAATTATGTTGTATGGTGATACGGAAAAATGTTGATGTATTTTGAGGATTTCGAATCGAATAAAAATAGGGGTTTGTCTGCTGTTGTGCACACAGGTGATTCAAGGAGATGTGCTGAAGACTGAGCTTCCCTATTTTGATATATGTGTGGCAAACATCCCTTATCAAATCTCATCTCCCTTGACCTTCAAGTTATTGAAGCACCAACCGGCATTCCGATGTGCCATTATAATGTTTCAGAGGGAATTTGCAATGAGACTGGTTGCCCAACCCGGTGACAAACTACTGTCGTCTTACCGTCAACACCCAACTATTGTCACGGGTCTCCCACCTCCTCAAAGTTGGAAGGAACAATTTTCGCCCTCCTCCTAAGGTGGATTCTTCTGTGGTGCGAATTGAGCCCAGGAAACCAGCTTTACTAGTGAACCAAAAGGAGTGGGATGGGTTTTTGCGGATCTGTTTCAATAGGAAGAACAAAACCCTTGGCTCAATTTTTAGGCAGAAAAGTGTCATCAATTTGCTCGAGAAGAATTACAAGACCCTGCAGGCGCTTAATCCTGCGACAGCCCAGGAAGAGGATACTAACGATGTAATCGAGTTTATGGATGAGGACATGGAGATGGATGATGATGGAGTCGATGATGGAACGGAGATGGAGGTGGAGGATGGTAATGCGGAAGGGGAGGTATCCGAATTCAAGAAAAAGGTTCTGGATGTGTTGAAGAAGTCTGGTTTTGAAGGTGAAAGGTCCTCCAAGCTCAAATTACAGCAATTTTTAGACCTACTTTCCCAGTTCAACAAGGATGGTATACACTTCTCCTGATCTTAAGATCCAAGGATATATTTCTTGCAGGATTATTATACATTTTACCCAACCCAATTTTGTTAGGTTGCATCAAGTCTCTCTCTTGTCGGTTGGTTTAGTTTGAGATTATGTGTCGGATGCTTTTAAAATTTTCCTTTCCAATGTATGTGAAAATGAATCTCAAGTGAGACAATGCTGTCATGGGATTTCACGGTTTTTAATCGATTTTACGAACTACTGCAGAATCCATCACTAAACTTATCTTAAACTTATCTTCGTGGCCGCATTGTGAGCCATAAGCTGTTTGCATTGTTGGAGTGATGGAGTAAAACTAAATTGCAAGCTAACATTTCTCTTTTAATTTATGTTAAAGTCTCACTATTTCAAGCAATTGTGTCATGTTGAACGGTTTGCTCAAATGGTCGTCCATGCCAGCCTCCATCCTCCGGCTTCTTTCTTCGTTCGGTGAATGACCCGTTAATGCATTGATTCGATTGTGAAGATTATAAGGTTCCTCCTCTTAGGCAACGGGAAAAAGTAACTGCATCGACTGATTTCAGAAGTTGATAGAGAATCCTATGCCATACTACACAATGCATGTCAAACTCAAAACACAAACAAACTATAAGATTAACACACTGATTACGGACTAATCGAACACTTTCCCAAATCTTCCATTGTTCTAGACCAATATCCATATCCCAAACCAATTTCCCTACTGAAAAACGTAAGATCACATTCGAATTCTTGCCCTTTTCTCAGAGGTCACAAGTTAAGACCAAGCTAGCACTAGCAGTGAAGACATTACAGGAAAAACTTGACAATAATTGATTGCTCTGCTCTAACGAAACTCATAAGACAGTTTGACTCCATGGATTTCGAAACTTTGACATTTGCGGTCGAATACCAAATCCGCGGCTATTGGGTTTTGCGCGGGTATTCCACTGAATGCAATATACATGCACAAATGATATGGCAGAGAGAGACTTTGTAATTTGAGATTCCATACTTGTTACCTGAGAATAGATAGACGGCGACCGGAAGTCAAGTGTGAAGCTTTTGGTAGGAATGCTGCTATGCAACAAGAAAGAGGAACCCGGAAGCCAACAGAATATTGACTACTCAATGTTTAACTCTTATGGAAGACAACCTTCGATGATAGCAGAACTCCAAATTTAGGCTTATTTCTAGCACAAGAAGAAGAGGAAGAGGATGATAGCAGAAGAAAAGGGAAAATTTGTCTATAAAAACCAAACTTTATATTAACCAAATGCTTCATCGTATATAGTTATTTGGTTTTCCATTCCAACATATTGTTTGCATCACGTCGGACGCTCACACTTAAAAACGGCGAGCTCATACCATCGTACTCCTCTCTATTGTCTCTAACATTTTTCTTTTAATTTGTTTCTATCGTCAATGCGTCTCGTTTTTTCAAGCAGTTGTTCTCTTTGAAACGGTTTGCTCAAATGATCGTCCATGCCAGCTTCCATCCTTCGGCTTCTTTCCTCTCCCGATGCGTGACCTGTCAATGCAATGATGGGAATGTGAAGATTATAAGGCTCCTCCTCTCTCCTTATTTGCCTTGTTGCTTCGAACCCATCCATTTCCGGCATCTGCAGTTTCATCACCAACCAAAAAGCACATCAACTTCATAAGTTTTGGTCCAGAACAAAAGGCAATAGGGAGTTAAATTAAACGAATCGGAAACTATTTCAGCACATTTTTCCTGCTTATGCACTCTTATCCTTATGCCCTTGACTCTCTTTCGATTTATTCAACTCAAATGTCGGAAAAAACAAGAGTAAAAGAGAACGGAGTCTTTTTAACCTCAACTATAACAAGGTGCATAGCAGTGATTAAAGCATTAATTATTAAACGATTGGATTATTAAATAATTCATTACTGATTAACCATGAGGAGTGAAATAGTTACCTCACAATCCATTAGTATATAATCGAATCCATGTTTCCCTTGATTCGCGAGAGCACCGCGAACGAGATCTAGAGCTTCTCTTCCATTTCCACAAAGCTCCACAGTTGCACCCAGCCTTGTCAAGTTAATTTGAGCTAGCTTGCGGTTCAATTCTATGTCATCAGCAACCAAAAATTTCTTTCCAATCAAGGGCCTGTTCGGATTGCTGACATGTTCTTGTGTTTGATCTCTAGGAGGAACTAGAATCTGTGAGTTTCTTGATGTGGAGGAGCCAACATGAGACAGATATTGGTGAGTCAGCGTTGGCGAAAATATTTTCTTGCGAGGGGTCTCATTACCTGAACTACCACCAATATTACTATGGTCTTGCGATACTTCAATTTCATCGTCAGTTGAATGATCAAACTGATAATTATATGATCGATGTTGATGTGATATTGAGGAACTAGCAGGAGCTCTAGACGCTTTTCCAACCTGGTGTGGAAGCTGCTGAATTGTGGCCCTTCTCTTAGGTAATGCACCCCCAAACTCCGGAAGAAGTCTCACCACTTCGTATAGGCGGCTACCATGAAGCGCCTTGTGTTTGATTACATCCTCTGGATCAAACATATCACGATCATTCAAATTGATGCTATGACTTGCTAACCAAACAACCCTGCACCAATTGCAATTCCTAGTACTATTCTGGTGATGATCCGTTTTGAATTCAGTCACAATCTTACATAGTTCTGAAAAGGGTCCAGCTGTGGCATCAACCACTACCAACACAAACCCCGTTGCACCTCGAAGGCTCGTCTTTTTAAAGAGAGAAAGAGGGAGCATGTTGTTGCTGCTGCTGTTGTTTTCAGTTCCACTCCCGTCCATTGCGCTGATCAAAGGCACCTCGTTTACTCTGTTGCTAGAGTTGCATGATGTGGATTTGCTCAAGCAGTCTTGCAAACCCACCTCAGATATTCTTGAAGA